TGCAAGAAACTCTTCGGCTTGTTTTTGTAACATAGATTTGAATAGAGGGACTCGAAATTGTTGGAAGTCATGAATTCTTTAATCTTGTGTAGGAAACTTATGGTGTTCACAATTGCAATCAATCTTGAGAACGGCAAATTATAGAACAATGCATTGCATTCGAAGGAAAGACAAGTTTATAATTTTATTGATAAATTCATATCTTTTGCAAAATAAAGGAATTAAAGTTGAACCAAAATTAAGGGTTACAACAACAAATTACGTTGGTTGGGTTTGGAATGCATCGTCCTTGTTCAAATCCTTTAAAAGAACACGATTCTATGCATTTTTCGTTTTCAGCGTCGCTGTCGTTTCCGCAAAGTCCAATACAAGTTAATGGAGGTGAAATTCCCTCCCTCGCCTCTGTATCTGCATCAATCGAAATAAACAAAAATTTAGTGTCTCCTAAATTTGAAAGAGAGAAAGAGAGAGAGAAGGGGAACAATTAGAGGTAATAGAGAGGCTACGAGAGCAAATTAAAAGCGAAAGCATGGCCATTGCAGCGACAGAAATCAAGATAAACTTCTGCATCTTCATCCTTAACTTCAAAAACTATATGTTTAATTTTCTTCCACAGAGTGATTTTAGCTTTTGAAAACGGCTTTATATAATACTGTTATTAACTTCCAATTATTTTCTATCATTAAGAGCAAATACCTTCATTTCTTTCCATGCATATTAATATTAATTCTACATTCATAGGTTTTCCTTATAAACACAAATGAGAGTTATTCGAGGATATAAATGCTAATATTTGTAAAGTAATATGGGATACTATAGAAAATATCTCACCTTATAGTTGGGAATGAGAATTAATTTCTTGATTTTTTCTTTAAATAAAAGAAAAGAAAATCCTAACCATCCTCGTGAGTTTTAGAGCTTTAAGCCTAAATTGGATGTGTTTACTTCTTTCTATGTTTAACGAAATGAAATACAAATACGTTTTTGGAAAGGTGGTATAAAATTCGTCATCTTTGGTGCAAGAACTAAGTTTTATTGAGTTACATAGAAAATAATAATAATAATAATAAACTTTTAATCATGCACTGAGTAACGATAACTTTGTTGGGTCTCACTTAGCGCTAGAGCTACATCAACAAGATACATGATTTGTACTTGGAAGGCATACTCCATGTACAAATCCTCTATTTTGGCAGGAGCTTAAGTAGTTTTGGTTTTCTTTCTCGCTTCTGTTCGTGCAAGTTGTATCACAAGTTAATGGAACAAAATGGTCGGTCTTTCCTATCATATCTACATAACATTCAACAAATAAAACAAAATAAATCAAGTTAGCTAAATTAAATTATGAGATAAAAGAAAAATACGTGAACAAAAACTGTTTTAAGTACTCAAAGAGTGAATAAAAAAAAATCTCTATAAGAGAAAAACAAGGTCGGGGGAGGAGAGGCAGATCTGGGTTCTCCAAAAATTTGATTTCTGAGTTCCTTTTCTGACGGTGGTGATGAAGGCTACACGACATCAATTTGCTTTAGGGTGGAGGTACTGAGGCCGGTGAGGACTTTCCAGTATGATTTGCTCAGTATAGGGGTTGGAGCTGACGTCTTTTAGTTTTGCTTCTCTCGCTAGAAAAACTACGATCTCTCTCTCTCTCTCTCTCTCTCTCTCTCGTTTTTTCTGCTCTTTTCTTCCTCTGCGCAGGTGTTCAAGGCATTGGCTGAAGGCTAGAGGAGGGAGGGATACGTCTGGAGACGATCCACGAGGTCATAGTCGTGTGAGATTCAAAAATTCTAACGGTCGCTGGAGTTTTCACATCCACCAGCGATTGACGCAATTTTTTTTTTTTGTTACCATCATGTAAAAGTTCGAATCTTTTTACTTCATTGAACACCCAATCGAATCTGTTAAGAACGAACTAATGACTACAACAGAAGCAACTGATTGTAGTCCTTAAATCCGACTTGTAGCCACCGAAAAATATTTAATGATTGAATCCTTAAATATTACTAATTAAAAGAAAAAATTGTGAATATAAAGAACAAATGGAGAATATAAGGAACAAAGTTGTCAAAAATATTTAATGATTCGATAGTGGCAACAAATTCAATAACCTAAATCTGGTGAACTCAATTCAATCATTATCATTTGGATTTGGTTATAAACTTATTTAAGTTGGATTAAATTAAAATAAATAAAAATTTTATGAATTGAATCTGTTCATGGTTCCTTAAAACTAAATTGAGTTGAACGGGTTAATTGGAATTTGTTATTGATTTTAAAATGTACACTTTTACCTATGATACAATTATATATGCATAATTATATATTTTTATTTTCCTAAACCCTAAACTCTCTTTTCAAAATTATTTTTTATTATTTCTTGTTTAACCACTTTTAAAAATTAATTTTTAACTATTTTGATGGTAAATTTTTAAATTATATATTAATGGTAAATCTTAACTAAGATTTTACTTTTATTAAAAACAAAAATGTGAATAAATGATCAGAACCACATAGGTTTGGGTACATTATTTAATAAGAGTTATTTGGAGCGAAAAAATTTATTAACCCGAACAATTAGATTAGGTCTAAAAAATGTCCTACGAACACCGTGGAAAAGATAATAGATAATGAATCAAAGAGAAATTAAACTATAACTTGGATTACCATTTAGAATCCAACCAAACAAAGCACCACAAAAGGTCCACTCTCTTTTGTTGGGTTATATACTTACAAACCCTCCAAACCTTGGAATTTATAACATAACAAAAGTTACTATTTTATGATTTAAAACGCTAAAATTTGCTCCAAAAGTGGCTTTTTTAGCCATCAAAAGGAAATTCACGAATCCTTTTATATAAAGAACAAGAATTTCTTTTTTTTTTTTTTTTGCTTAGCTCTTATTATGATGCTAATGGCTGTCCCACGGTTTACCCTTCTTGCCAATTGTAGAGCGCTCCGATCAGGTACTGAGCGAGGCGGTGACGAGGACCACGACATCGCTGAAGAGCCAAAAAGCTTAGTACCAAGGCTGAAGGGTTTTGGATGCAATGGTGACTAAGTTTTTACAAGACCCAGCAGAAAGGGCGCTGGCAATTAGTCACACATTCTTTACCAAATTCATTTAGCCTATTTCATTGCTTTGATTTTGGTCTGTTTGGGTGACTTCATTAATATCACGACAGACCTTTTCGACTATTTCCATAGATTTTTGTTGGGAAGCATGAATTTCATATTGGTGGATGAAGTTCACAAAATGATAAGCTTTTTGAATAGACTATAAAAAATAATCAAAATATTTTAGGGAATTCCTAACTATAACGACAACTGTTAGTAGGTCGGTAAACAAAATGATAAGCTTTTTGAATAGACAAAAAAAAGTAGGTCGTTGTAGTTACGCACTCTTGTTCTTCAAATCCTCCCAAGTATTTACTTTTCTCAATAATCTCATACCCATCGCATACATTTGCAAATCATTCAAAGAAATCTTGTAATCATCTGTGAAAAACACTGCATAAAAGGAACATTAACTTGGGTTCTTCTCCAACTAAATGATCATAGCTCAATCTGAATGAAGCATAAACTTTGTCACTAACTCCTTTGATATCCATTCCTATGGAGTTTCTTAATTTGCTCAAAGCATCCTTCCAATGGTTCATATGCTTCCCTTTCAATATAATAACATCATCTTCCATTATAGCCAAATTATTCCTTAGAAAAGAAGTTCTTCCCTCCTTACTCTTTGGTAATTTTACATTCAAAACATCTCCAATTTGTTCTTTAATCTGTATAACTCCATTGGATTGGCCTACAAACACTTCAATCACTCGATCAAACACTTCTTCCAAAACCATCTTCTTAACTTCATTAAGCAAGTAAGTTTTTCCAACGCCTCCCATGCCATAAACACCAACCCTGCTAACCTCTTGAAGTGCTTTCTTGATTTGTTTAGCCATTGAAATCTTGGATTCCAGAACTTGATACCCACCATGAACAATGATGTTCTTAGTCTCTAGAAGCGGTGCAGGGTAGCCCACTTCCACAAAGTTGATTCTTTTGGCTATGAGTTCATGAAGAGCTTCAATTTTCTTCTTTGTTTTTCTGCCTAATTGGTATCTATCCACCAAATTAAAGGCTGATGGGTTTGAAGAATTTGATGATAGCTCATCATGGATGGCGTTGTGTGCATCAGCCAACCACTTTGAAACTTCCTCGCGGATTGCATATGCGTTGCTTCTTGCCTCTTGGACTCGTCCTTGCACATCCCTGCGAGCTGTCTTGAGAGCTTCGAGTTGCTCTTTGAGCTTGTTTTTGTTTCTGTTGTAGCAGAGGAGATAGCTTAGTTGACGTCCAATGGGTTTAATCACATATTCTCCCATTATTGATTCAGCTACTGAGACTAAAATTTCTATTCCAGCTCTTTGAATGTCCCTGCAGATGGCATAATCATCAAAATATTTGAAAAAAA